GTGAGACGAGAAGAGCTGGTATTTCTAGTAAATTCCATAATTAAAGTATTTTATAAGTCTTATTCTATAAGGAACTATAGTAAGTAAAGCCATTTACTCTCTGGGAGGTACAGGTTTCATGAATCAGAAACTAATTAAAATTGGAAGAGCAAAAGGTCCGCCATAAACAGAAGTGTCATTGACTAATAAACAAATATAAAAGGGAAGCAACGCGCTCGCAATATGAGATATACTTATTATGAGATTTCATTGAAAATACAGTTAATTAGCAATGCAACAAAGGAAATTTTCGCGATAACTAACGCAGAGGTAATAATAGTAAAAGTCACTCAGCGAGCTATAGAAGCTATATTATAATGAATTTCGCGCGGCTAAACCCGTAAATAAGATATCCGCAATAGAACCAGAGTAACAGACAGCTCAAACTTTTTTTATGTGGTAGATTTACTTATGCCAGCTTTAAGTAACTGCAGCACGAATAGGTAGGTTCAACTATGGTGGGAACATGCACTCACAGAATACTGGCATGAAACATCAAAATATTGCTGCTGTGTTTATACTTTTAAAGTGCTGCCACTACTACAAAGTTGATTACCTAATGAGGGGATATTGCCATAATTACCAAGTTTGGCAAGCAGGTCAGCAACCGCAGTTTTTTGTTATTTTGAGTTGTTATCAGGAAGATGCTGCTGCCTACTTCCTATTTCATTTTCCCTCTGTCGCCTCTTACAACTTCGGCGAGACACAGGGTAGTGAATATTCTTACACCGCCACTACACGATTCACATACTGAATGAGGAGAACCAGGAATCCTTCTAACTGGTAAAGCATAACCTCGACATCAGGATTGACAACGCGTCTTTATTTTTTTCTTAATTAATGGTAGACATAGATGTCTATAGGCCACAGCTTCCACTTTTAACTGATGGACTATGTGCCCGTTTTTTTTTATAGAATAAAGGTGACAAACGAGTACTCACCTTGTGGTTAGTGGTTGCTGTGGCCTATAATCTACATATATCTACATCTATCATCAATTAAAAATCAAAATGCAGATGCGTTGACAACCCTGAGGACTAAGATGAAAGGCCTCGTTTCCGGTGAAAAGGGTCTCCGGTTCTTTACTCGCACTAAACGAAACACAGCAGCATTAGGCTGCTATTTTACGCTGATATTCTCTATGAGTGTGGTCCCTCCTCGGTCAAGCCGTCCAATTTGTTAGTCCGTTTGTCAATTTTTTTAATAAAAATAAAATGTGAATAATCGTAGCTCGGTCAATTTACTAAGTTTCATTAAATATTGTATTTATTAAAATTCTAATGCATAGGAGGCCGTCTGGTGATGTCTTTTAGAAGAGAGCCAAGCTATATTGTGGTTTAAGCATGAATGGGTTGGCATGACTGGGGAAGAACCACACTCTCACAGAATATCTGGGCCGACTCGAGCCGGGGTGGTACCACGACCTCAAAGACCGGCGTGAAGTGGAAAATCTGCTTCTGAGTTTTTTCTGGTGAGTCAGGTGGCCAAAGGACCGATTCACCGCCCTCCATCAACCTGGTAGCGGTATTAAATGTCAGATTACCTCAGGAGGGTAACAGTACCCATGGAGAATCCCTCGCTGGGCATCCACGATCAAGCTACTTCACTCTGCGCACACTCCTGAGCGTAGGTGCTCAGGCTACCCAGCATATTCTGGGGGGAGGGGGAGGACAAAATTCCGCTCAAGACAACAACTGCTCGGTGCAAGCTCAGCAAAAAGATCAAGGCAACCCTTGGCATGCTATCCGTGAATTTCTACAATATCAGGGGACTTCACTCGAATCTAAACGCCGTCCAGTACTGTCTCGATACGGCGAAGCCAGCTATGCTATTTCTGACCGAGAATCAGGTGTCATCTCCGGCTGATTTTTCGTATCTCTTCTACCCGGGGCATAAACAGGAACACTCCTTTTAGCCTTGGGCTGGAGTTTGCGTATACGTCAGATAGGAGATCTGTTTTCGACGCTTCAGCAGTCTTCAAGGTTCGGACTTATTCATCCTTTGGCTATGCGTAGACAGCGACGACCATCCGCACATCTATGGATCGTAATCCTCGACGATTTTATCGCCCACCGTGCCGAATGGCTTGGTTTACGTTTAATCGATCATGCGGGGCGATTAGTTTATGATTTTGCCTTGTCATATGGTCTGACACAACTGGTCACTTTGCCTACGTAAATTCCAGATGTGAAGGATCATGCACCTTTCCTGTTGGACCTTCTGCTGACCGCTTATCCGAACAGATATCAGGTCTCCGTCATAGCATCTCTTGGCTACTCGGATCATTGTCTTGTCTGGAGTATGGTACGATAGGATACGGTCTTTCTTTGCATCCTACCATTGGGGGCGGGTTTGATTTTCGCCGGGCGATCTCAAAGTTGTTGCTGATTCTGTCGTTTATGTGGTACTTTATGGTTTTCTGTACGCTGGACAGTGGTACAAATGTGACTAACACAACGCCCTCCGCCCGGTCGGCAATGGTACACATTTGTCCACTAATCATTTATGGGGGCGAACCCGACAAAAAAAAGTTTTTCATTAAAAATTACAACAAATTTATACTAAAATGTATAATACAGACATAGACAAAGACATAATCTTTAATTTAGTACCATAATCCGTCAATTTCGAACTAAAAATAAACATAAAAATCATTCTGACGTAATGGCTTCTTACACCAGTAGTGCGTGGTAGTGCGTGAGCTATTTCTGAGTGATTTCCCCGTTTTTCTGTGTGTTTTTGAAATAAAAAGTAAAACTCACCTTTTTATTTTCCTACTTTTGTGTATTCCTTGTAATAAAACAAACACGTAGAAATATAATTTGTGCGTAAAAATTGAAAAGTAAGTGCCAAAATGACTTCAAAATCGAGAAGGCCCATTTTAGCGGTTGGGTCAAAAATGTGTTATTTTTCCAATTCTTATTTATTTTTAGCCTCTAAAAAGCTTGGCGTGCTCAGCAGAGCGGGACAGTATTTCATGCCGGCACACCGCCTACAACATTACTAAGCGCAAGTTCGGCCTCACATGGAATATTGTTCTCATCTCTGGGCTGGGGCTCTCCAGTACCAGCTCCGTCCACTTGGCCGCATCCAGCGCGGAGCGGCTCAAATTATAGACCACCGAGTTCTTTCCTTTCTTCACTGGCGCTGCGAAGAGATATTGCATCTCTTTGCATTTTCTATCGCATCTACCACGAAAAGTGCTCTGAGGAATTGTTCGGATTAATCCCAGCCGCCTGAGGTCGTGAACACACTACGCGGCAAACCTCCCGATACCATCCACACCATCTAGATGCTTGGCGGTCCACCACTGTACGTTTCACCAGGAGTTTTCTTCCACGTACGACCTCTCTGTAGAATAGTTTACCACAGGTGATTTTTCCGGACTGATACCTAGGGACCTTCAAGAAAAGAGCTTACTCCTTACTACACGGCCGGCAACGCACCTACAATTGAATACCCCATAATGTAATACCCCTGGTGTTGTTAACCGAGGATAGATAGGCCACAGTATCAACTTACCATTAGGTGGACTGTGTCTTTGTTTGTCACCATACTTGTATAAAAAACACTATTAATTATTTAAGTTTTAATATAATAATTTATTTCTAAATATAAAAGCCGTCTTCCTCCACAACTCAACAAAGAAATGATGCTGCATTCAAGCGGATATTAATTCGCTCCTCAGGGAGGCGGGAAGCCGTCGTCAAATAATTATATCCCGAGTAACCATTAATCCTGATTGTTTTTTTTTTTTTTTAGAGCTATGCTCTTGATTTAGACTTAATTGAAGCAGGAAATAAATGTAGCGTTAAATATAAATTTTACCCCTTTATTGCATGATTTGTTCTTTTTCAATGAAAATCACACTGATAGAAAGTGTGTTCTAAATTATAGGAAAAATAATTAAAAAATCTTAATTGAAATTAATTGAGGAAAAAGCTTAAAAAACCATAAGATGCAAATTTCCATCACCATGCAGTCTCTTGTCTTGACCTCAGTACCAAATTTAGTTAAATCACATATATGCAATAAAATAAATAAATAAAGAAAGAACCATTTATTTGATAATCACACTTTACACACAATTTTTGAAATTTAAATATAAATTACAATGGACAAATAATATGCATGCGCAGGTGTAAGACTGCTTACGCATTAAAATTATTTAATAAGCAGAACATGCATGATGTTAATTAATAATGAAACAAAAAAAATAAAAATTAAAAAAAGAATTTGAAGATAAAATGTGACATCAAAATGACAGCATAATGCTGCAGAGGCAGCGCTGGTTTTCAGTTGGAACCTTGTGACTTCACTGACGAGTCGGTGTGTGATCCTCGAATTACGCGTAACTACAACTTATAGACTAATAGTAATTAGGCAGTGGGTTAAAGAGTAGTGCTAACGAACACAGTTAACAAAGACATACTGTATTAATATCAATATAAATGGTGTGTAGTACATACACTATACCTATACTTACATAATATAACATATTTGGTTCTATGGGGAAGACAAAGCAAAGTAGCAATAAAATTTATGATTTTAGTAAATATATAATTTATATTCTGTACTCAAAGGGACACGCCATATCACGAGACCTCATAGATTTTTTTAGAAAATAAAAGGTAAGATTAAAAATAAATAAATAATAAATGATCATTCATCACATAATATGTAACAGAAATAAACAATAATCAATAATATTTGAACATGGTGTAAAACAGTATAAATATTATTACTATTTTGCGTTCTAAACGTAATTATATTAAAGATTTAAAAAATACATATTAATGTTCATTTATCTTATTTATTGTGTGTTATATTTCAAAAACCAATTATTGTTTTGATATAAGCATAGATTGACTCCACATTTATTGTAGAATACCCTTACATTCCAAGTATTTAAATCTAAATGAACAACCCACTATACGTACCATCTTTAGGATATGGAGAAGCTACAGCACCTTTTCTTCTCTTTGCCTCCAATTTTGCTCCAATATACTCAGACTAGGACGTCCTCTTTTAGCTTGTAAAACAATGTCCTTGTCACGTATAACAAACGCTACTTCGTTCCGAAATTGCCGATCCGAATTGGTCTTGGCTAAGTATATTCCTGTACTATCAGTGGGCAAGTTATGGAAATTTTCTCTTTCCTTATCTTGTTATATCTTTGCACAGTAGTTTCAGTCTACGCTCCAACATATGCAGATAGAAGGGTAACTATCTTATTGTCTTTCAAGGCCACACAAGTCATTTCAATGTCCTGAACATGAAAATAGAAACCCTTTCCTAATATCATAATAATATATCTGTAGCGTGACTCTACTCACGCTACAGATATATTATGGTTGTAGCATGAATGGGTCGGCTCGACCGGGGAAGGACTTTTTTCGTATTTTTCAACACCTATCTTCTTTTTTATTATAAATAACCAAAAGCATTGCTTAAAGTAGCTCTTTGAGCAGTAGTTACCTGAGCAGTAGTCCTCTATGGTTTCAATAAGAAGAGGATCATCTTCAGCAGTACTATCTTCATCATTCTCAGCTGTATTTTCCTCTTTTAGCAATGTAGTAATTTCATGAGCGTCGTGGTGCTCATCATCATCAGATTTCTCGACATCTAGGTCATCTTCAGACAAATACCCATCTTCTTGTTTAGACAGATACTCCTCAATTGCCCTAATCATCCATATTTTACTATGTAAAAGAAGAAATATTGACGATTAGTAGGATTCTGCGCGGCATACTTGACGAGTGAAGTTATTGTATAATGATATAAATTTACATCACACAGTTTATACTATTTTTCCATAAGTATTTCAATAAATTGAGCATAGAAAACAACTGAGTATCAAAATACTAACCTGGTTTTGTCTATAAAACATAATTTTTTCACGAAAATAGTTTATTCCTCAAAAATAAATCACAACAATGCACACTTTAGTTGTCAAATATCTTTGACATCTGTTCTTTTTTCTTTACGATTGTGTTTTGTTCTACTCAGTAGTCTATCATGATGTTGAAAGAAACAAAACAAAATAAAATTACAACATCGTTCTATACTTTTTTATCGTTTAAATAGTATGATGGAAATTTCCATCACCATTCAACGAAAGTTTAACTTTTTATATAAAATTGTAATGATAAACGAACTCATAGTCCACCTGATGATAAGTAGCTACTATTGCATGCAAGTAACTCCAAACGAAGAAGTTACCGCTAGGAACTAAGATGAAAGTCCTAATGGCCCGTAAGTTATTTTACTGGCTCTCTACTTACCGACGGAAATAGGCAGAGGCAGGTACTAATCAAGACATATTCGTAGGCAGACGACGAGCCAATCGCCTATCAGGTGGTGTATCTTTCTTAATAAAGCGGTGACGGAATAAGTGGTGATGGAGATTTGAGCACGCATTTAAGGGAAGAAGGGAAGTGCTCTATATACAAGGTAAGTATTATCACTTTATTTTTTATCACGCGGATTTTATCTAATTAATTTCTAACATTTTTATTTAAATGGATTTCCGCCTTAGCAAAGTTGCGTCTGATGCTATAAATAATATAATAAAAGAATAGGCGTAATTATAAGATATAGGGTTTTTAATTATGTTAGCGTTTGGATAGCCGACTATCATTTCTTTCACAATTTTCCATCTATACCAATACTATTTGGCTTCACATAGTACGAGAAAATAAAAATATCACCAATTTGGTCGATAAAATTTTGTCCAGGGTGTCCCTTCCTCATTCTGACGTTCACATCTGCCATATAAATTTGCTTTGTCAATCTTTCCTCATTCATTCTTTCTGCATGGCCAAACCACCGAAGCATATTTTCTTTATCCTGGTCAGTACATCATCTTGCACACCACATTTTTCTCTTATCACACAATTTTTCGCCCCGTCATACAGGTTTATTTTATAGGAGAGGAGGACAACCAGCATACGGATCACCTGATGGTAAGTGATTACTGCCGCCCATGAACAACTGCAACACTATGGGAATTGCAGATGCGTTGCCGGCCTTTTAAAAGGGAGTAGGCTCTTTTCTTGAAGGTCTCTAAGTTTTATCGGTACAGAATTAAACCCTAACATACTCCTTAAAGACCAGCATTTATTTTACTTTCATGTTTTTTCTGCCACACCCAAGATTTACTACCATAAATTAAAGTAGGAATTAACACAGCATTATGAATTATCATACGTGCCTTTTTTTACAGATTCTGATTATTCATAATAGAGTGTAGAGCCCCATTAACTCCATTTCCTGAATTCGCTCGTCGTTCTATATTCCTTTCATATCTACCATCCCTGGTAAATACACATCCTAAATACAATAACTCATACACTTGCTCAATCAACTCCCCTTCTATTTTTATTTCACATAACGTTTTACCTTCTCCTCTTTCAAAAACCATCACTTTTGTCTTACTTGTGTTTACTTTCATTCCCTATCTTTTAACGCCCAGTTTTTGCAACTTAGCCGCCGACAACGTAAATAACACTTAATCGTCGGCGTACAAAAGGCATTTGATAGTTAACTCTCCCATTCTTAACCTACATTTTTCATCTTTCAAAGTTTGCAGACAACTATCCATAAATAGGTTGAACAGCCACGAGGAAGCTACACAGCTTTGTCTGACACCTTTTTGGATGCCAAACCAGTCAGAGTAGACCGCGATGATCCCAACACAAGCACTAGAGTCCCTATAAAGAGACCTTAATGCCTGTATCAAACCAGCGCTAAACCCAAATAAGTTCAGTGTTTGCTATAACACAGTCCTGTCCACTCTGTCATAAATCTTTTCCAAATCAGTTAACGTACAAAAAACTTTCTGGTTCTTAGCCAAAAACTTCTCCGCAATTATGCGCATGGAAAAGATTTGTTTTGTATACCCCATTCCCTTTCTAAATCCAGCTTGCACATCCCAAATTTTGGAAAGAAGTTCCTTATCGCGCGTTGCGAAAAGGGGCTAGACGAAAAAACTTAGGACCAAAAGTGTTAACGACACTTTTTGCTTTTGTTATAAGCCGTGCAGCGTGCGCGTGTTTCTCTGTCTATATATATATATATATATATATATATATATATATATATATATATATATATATATATATATATATACATATATATCATACATTTATATATAGTTTATATATTATTTCGCATTGAACAGTGTGGCCGTGTAGTGGCGGTTGAGAATATCCACTACCCCATATCTTCCCGAGGGTGTCGTAAGAGGCGACAGAGGTACACAGAAAGTAGATAGACAGCAGCATCTTCCTAATAACAATAATAACATAATAAAAAGCTGCGGTTGCCAACCCGCTCGCCAAGCGTGGCAACTATGGCAAATATCCCAACATGAGCTCGACCTGGCAACATATAACGCACGCACCCTGAGGACTGATGAGAAGATACTGGAGCTGGAAGAAGAGGTAGACAAGTTGCGCTGGCATATTATTGGATTATCCGAAGTCCGAAGAGAGGGGGAGGACACGGCAATCCTCGAGTCCGGCAACTTGTTCTATCACCGGGAGGGCGACCGTCTGTCCCAAGGAGGTGTCGGATTTATCGTCCACAAGTCTCTAGTCAACAACGTTGTAAAGATTGGGAGTGTGTCGACGAGGGTCACGTATCTGATACTCAGAATCACCAAACGGTATTCGCTGAAGGTCATACAGGTCTACGCACCAACCTTGGCACATCCCGATGAAGAGGTGGAGGAAATGTATGAGGATATTTCTAGAGCCATGCATGCCTCCAAAACCCACTACACGGTGTTGATGGGAGACTTCAACGCAAAACTAGGCACAAGAGAACGCGGTGAGCTGAAGTTAGGGAAACTTGGAGTAGGGCAACGGAACCGTAGGGGCCAGCAGCTGGCTGACTTTATGGAGAAAGAGGGACTCTTTATGATGAACTTTTTCTTCCAGAAATGGCCCCACAGGAAGTGTACCTGGTCGAGCCCCGACGGTTCGACAAAAAATGAGATTGACTTCATTATGACGACCAGACCCCAACTGTTCATGTCTGATGTCTCAGTGATCGCAAGGGTGAAAACCGGCAGCGATCACCGATTGGTTAGAGGCACAATGAACCTAAACGTTAAGTTGGAGAGGTCTCGTCTAATGAAGTCAACGCTCCGTCCCCCTCGTGCTCTAATCCAGAATCCCGAGACTTTTCAGCTCGAGTTACGTAACCGCTTTCAGTGCCTAGAAGATTGCAATGCAGTGGATGATATGAATGACAAGCTTGTGGAAACTGTCCACGCAATCGGAGCTAAGTTCTGCAAGACCCGCCGCAGAAGAACACAAAAACTCTCCGATCACACTCTTAATCTCTTGGCTGTTAGACGGGAGATGAGGCTGCAATCGTCAACAGAATTGACAGCATACAGGCAACTGAACAGACAGATCTCCAAATGCATGCGGCAAGACTTACGCAACTTTAATACTGCTCGCATTAAAGAAGCGATCGTGCGGAACCAGGGCTCAAAAGTCTTTGCTTTTGACTGAGTGTGGCAGCATCGTTTCCGGGACACCTAAGATTTTGAGTGAAATTGAGAGGTTCTATGGGCAGCTGCATACATTATCGTTGGAGCCAAACGCAAGTGTGAGTAACGATGCAAGAGCAAGTCTTACCCGACACTATTCCGATGATATCCCGGACGTCAGTATGAGCGAGATTAGAATGGCTATCCAGCACCTTAAAGACGGCAGGGCCCCAGGCGAGGATGGAATTACAGCGGAGCTTCTGAAAGCGGGTGGAACACCGGTACTTGAAGTCTTTCATAGGCTCTTCAATTCCGTTCTCCATGGTGGCACTACTCCAGAGGAGTGGAGCAGAAGTGCGGTGGTCTTGTTCTTTAAGAAAGGCGACAACGCTCTCTTGAAGAACTACAGACCGATTTCCCTACTGAGCCGCGTCTACGTGCTGTTTTAGAGAGTCATTACGAATCGTCTCGCACGCAGACTCGACGACTTCCAGCCTCCCGAACAAGCCGGTTTCCGAAAAGGCTTCAGTACCATAGACCACATACATACCCTGCGGCAGATTGTACAGAAGACCGAAGAGTACAATCTGCCACTTTGCCTGGCGTATGTGGACTATGAGAAAGCCTTTGATTCCGTCGAAATTTGGGCGGTGCTACAGTCCTTTCAGCGGTGCCAAGTTGACTGTTGGTATATCGAGGTGCTGAAGTGTTTGTACAGTAGGGCTACGATGGCTATCCGAGTACAGAACCAGAGTTCAAAACCTATCCAACTTCAGAGAGGTGTAAGACAGGGTGATGTTATATCCCCGAAACTCTTCACCGCTGCGTTGGAAGATATTTTCAAGCTACTGGACTGGAAAGGATACGGTATTTACATCAATGGCGAGTACATCACTCACCTTCGATTTGCCGACGATATAGTCCTTATGGCAGAATCGCTGGAGTACCTTAGCACTATGCTCAATGAGCTCAATGGTGTCTCCCAACGGATAGGTCTTAAAATGAACATGGACAAAACAAAGATTATGTTCAATGTCCATGTCACACCTATGCCGGTAGTTGTGGGGAGGACTATGTTCGAAGTTGTGGACGAGTACGTTTACCTAGGACAAATAGTCCGACTAGGTAAGTCCAACTTCGACCGAGAGGTCAATCGACGGATTCAACTCGGCTGGGCAGCGTTCGGCTAA